TCTTGTCCTCAGTGTCAGTAGGTTCAAACAGGTCATAGATCTTAGATTCATTAATCAGATTATTGGATCAGACGCTCCTGTCGGCGCATTTAAAGACGGTGGGGGCGTTTATTGCTGAGTTGAGTAGCAGTTTACTTCTGATCCTGGAAAACAAGAAGTTAGCAGATTTCTGAGGGGTCTACATGGCCTGGGGTAAACTAGTAACCTTGACCTTCTCAAATCTAAAAAGTCAAAAACAGGTTAAATTGAAAAAAACAAAACAAACAACAACTAATATTAACAAATATCCAGCTCTATGCTACCCGACCTCTTGATCTAAGCTGCTCCCTATGAGGAGAATATTAAAGATCCAGTTTTCTTCTGTTTGTCGTAAAGTCAAAGTTCTTTTGAAATAAAACCACGATTGTGCTTTTTAGGTTCAAATTTCAACCGCATCACAAACCTTGGTACTCTTAAGGCTTTAACATATTCCTACATTTCAATGTAGTGGATTTCTTTCAGGACTAGTCTAAGGAAGGCTAGTATATACTGACTAAAGGGTTATTAGAGGTGTAAGAAGGATCATGGTCAACTTCTATCTTTCTCTTTGTGTTTCTAGTACAGATTCTTTGGTGAGCCTGTGGTCAAAGCCTGCGTGGAGAACGGAGCCCACCACATTGACATCTGTGGAGAGCCGCAGGTTGGTGTGATGCTCTGTTTGGACTTGATGTTATCATTTGATTCTTTCATTTCATCCTGCATACAAACTACTTTTATACATCAGACATAATACTGTATGTTTTTGATAAAGTGTATGAAGAGAGTTCAGCCTGTGTGGGTGTCGTCCTCCTGCAGAGTTCTGGACAGTCATCTTTAAAGTTGTTTGTTTGGATTAGATTGGAGTCATGCTGATTGTCATGCTGCAGCTGGTTAGGATGAAATTATCTTTAACTAGGGCCCCTGACGGCAGCTGCTCCATCCCTGTTGGCTGGTGTGCATCATATCTTACTGACACAAATGCTAAATTAAGTATCCGTTGTTTGCTTCCTGAAATGCCGTCTTATTACGTCCAGATGGTTTCACCACAGATTGCTTAAAGCCGAATTGTTTCCTCCATCTAAGTTCAGTTTGATTGATGTGAATTTGCTCAATATCCATTTTATACTATGGCCGACGTATTTAAAACGTTTTTATTTTCTGTGTGGTTTTTTTTGTTGAACAGTTCTTGGAGGGTATGCAGCTGAACTACAGCCAGCAGGCAGCAGAGAAAGGAGTCTTCGTCATTGGAAGCTGTGGGTTTGACTCCATTCCTGCAGACATGGGAGTCCTCTACACTAGAGATCAGTTCAGAGGTTTGTGTGGACATGCATACTGATACTTTTATTACACATGTATACAATGGACTGGAAAATATTTGTATCACTCTAACCTGTCTATCTGGGGTCGATGTGTTTGGGTGCAGGTACTCTAACAGCTGTGGAGAGTTTTCTGACCGTCAGTGCAGGACCAGAGGTATTTATAAACCCAGGCAGCTTGTGGATCTTTAACCTTTTCCCTATGCAGTTGTTGTGTTGTCTGTTTTGCCATTTAACAGCATTTTTTTTTCTCCGTTCTCATCTATCAGGGTGGGTGCATCCATGATGGGACCTGGCAGTCTGCTATCTATGGCTTTGCTGACGGCCACAAACTCCAGAGCCTAAGACGGAAGTTTAACCACAAACCTCTTCCCTCTGTCGGCTCAAAGCTGCGGCGCAGGTATAGCCGGCATTACATTTGATTTCACCTAATAAAATATTATCTGTGGAAAAAATACTCCACAGTTCTTACAGTGATTCCCTCCATAAACATACAGCAATTATGATGTTTTGGATCAAAAAATGTCTAATTGCCTAGTCAAATTCCAGAGCTATACATAAGAGTTTCTAGCATTTGCACTGGTGGAAATATCTAGAAGTGTGTTTCATAAAGGTACCTCTTCAGGCTTATAGGACTTCTGGCATTGTTTCTTTTGTTGGTTAAAGTGCTTTATGTTTTTGCATTAAATCTTGTAAAGAACTGAGCATTTTAAAATGTCATTTTTATATTTGTGTGTGTTTGTAGGGGTGCGCTGTTCTTCAGTAATGAGATCCAGCAGTATACAGTGCCCTTCATGGGTTCTGATCCCTCTGTGGTGAAAAGAACCCAGCGTTTCCTGGTAGAGGAACATCAAGCCACACCAGTGAGTAATGGACCCACTGGATATAAAGAAAAAAATAAAATATGGAAAATACCACAATTTTCATTTTAAAAAATTGGATTGATTGAATGGATTGAAGACTTTGCATCTCCTTTAAATCCCAGGTCCAATATGGAGCCTATGCTGGAGTAGGAGGAGTTGGGAGTATCATCAAGATGATATTTGCTGGCATGATGTTCTGGTTCTTGGTAAAGTTCAGTTTTGGACGCAACCTGCTCATCAAGGTAAATAAAGGAGATTCATTTAATCATGATGTAACTTTCTTTTTTTTTTTTAGCTAATTTGTTGATTTCTGTCTTCAGTACCCAGAGTTCTTCTCCTTTGGTTTCTTTTCGAAAGCTGGACCAACTAGAAAGCAGGTAAAATAACGAAATATGTCAGGATTTACACCCGTTTGTTTAAATATTCGAGAAAAAAAGTACCTATTTAAACAAATATATATATTTTTAATGTGCTGAACTTGTGCTTTAGATGGAGGGTTCATCCTTCCAGTTCTCCCTCTATGGTGAGGGTTACACAGATGAACAGGACCCCACCCAGGGGAAACCCAATGCCAAGATCCGCACTCTAGTTCAGGGACCAGGTAACTGTTATGCAAAATTTGTATAAATCAGATTTGAAAATGGTTAATAAAACTATTTCTAATCAGTCAAACTCGTCTTTCCTCTTCAGAGGCTGGTTATGTGGCTACGCCCATTGCCATGGTGCAAGCTGCTCTTACAATCCTCAACGAACCTGCAGCTTTGCCCAAGAAGTGAGTTCCCAATCCAACACACAACACACCACAAGCTTTTTCATTCATTTCTTTACTTGTACTTTCCATGTAAACTTAATTAAACTAACACAATTTACGAGATGTAGTTAAGTTCTTTTCAAGTTCTCTTTCTCATGTTTTTTTCTTTTCTCTAAAATTTATAAAGTCTAGTTGGATTTAAAAAAAATGTTGCAAAACTATGAGATTGGACTGTGAAAGTTTAAGGTAGAAGTAAGAGTAGAAAATATGTAATGATTTGTCCTGAATTACTTTTTGGTCTAATTTGTTTTTACTTCTTTTTTTTTTCCCAGAGGAGGAGTTTATACTCCCGGAGCTGCTTTCTCCAAAACCACCCTCATTGACCGCCTCAACAAACATGGCATCCAGTTCTCTGTCATCTAACATCCATTCCTCCTTTGTTGTATTCCAGTTTTTTTCTTTCTTCTGCCAGTTTAAACTAAATGGCAAAGCAATGATCAGTAAAGTTTCCGCTTTGTAATAGACATCTTTTTAGTTAAGATTTCTGATTTTTGGGGTGACTTTTTCACATTAATCCTGTTTCTTCCAGTTCCTAAGTTCCACATTAAGCTCAACTCTGCTCTTTGAGATTTTGCTTGGAAAAAGAGCACAGTTGTTGCTGTGTTCCCCTGTCCAGGACAGTAAAAGAGTTGTTGCATGTTGATAGATTTTGCATGGTTCTCTGCTAACATGATTACAGCTAATAAGTAACTCTTGATATCATTTTATACACTTCATGCCTCTGGACAATGATAATAAAGAGAAAACTAATATTTCTTTTTTGTGCATTATTCATTTCTCTGCTGCATAAATGAAAAGGGCTTTTACCAGATTGTCAGGAGTATTGAGGCATATAAAGGTAATAAAATACAGCTTAAACATTAACCTGATGAATGTTAGGAACATTAGAAACACTGTTTTTATCTGTTCTGGTTTAAAGCCATTAATGAAGGATATGAGCTGGACTCTTTTTTTTGTAAAATAAGTCCAGCACACTTGTGCAAACAACACTGGATGATTGAAACCTTCAGCTTTTAGTTTAATAACTGTTGGTCCGACAGTCAAAGCTCCGAATAATTTCTAAGACCTGTCCGACATCTTTGCATAGTTTAAACTTTATTGAACTTTTTTGTATCAGCTTCATAAATAAAGCCAGATCTGCAGAAAACAAATTAAAGGTGCCATTTGTGATGTACGCCAGTGTCTAAAAACATCAATGATACCCAAATACAGCTTCAGTTGAATGTACAAGAGCCAGTAGTGAAGATCTTTCATTTACAATCTGATGTTCCTACATTTGAGAAGGACAAAATACAATTCAATAATTTAGAGTAAGTTAATGACAAAAGAAAATCCAAAATTCAGATATTAATCTTAACTGGTACACAAAGCAGCCTCAAATCACAATTCTGAAAATCATCTCATGACCCCCAGGGTCGAACCCCTGGTAAAATAGAAAGTCACTGAAAATAAACCAAAGGTGACTGCAAAAGAAGCTGTATACTATAATGAAAGGAAAGTTAAGTGGAAGGAAAATGTATAGTAGATATCACTTTTTACCTTTCAAATTTAATATTTGCACAATCAAAATTAAACCGCTAATTTTAGGCCACTTCATTCCTCCATTGAAAAACTTTATGGAGATGTCCATTTTCTTTCCAGGACTCGGCCTGCACTGTTTTAAATTCTAATTATTTGTCAAACGACCCATTTGAACTCTACTTGGTTTCCTAACTAAACTGCATAAAGAAGCTATGGGCAATTGTTGAGAGGGGGATGAGAGCATGAAGGCTTTTCAACAGTTGGCCAGCAGTCAAAGATGTTGCCATTTTCAATTTCTGTTGCACTAACAGCCTCTGTGGAATGTAGTTGAATAACATTGTTTGCATTCTGTTTTAATTTTTCTTAATTGCTATGTTGACCAGAGAGCTGCAAACTCAATGGCCTTTTTTGTGGCTAAATAAAGTTCTTTGAAGTTAAACTATTTAGACTGTAAGAGACGACCCAAAGAGATGAAATGCCAACCAGTTAAACTTTATAAGACACTGAATATAAAAACTAATTTTCAACATTTAATCATAAAAAATATACTGCTTTGTAGAAGAGAGCAAAAAATTCCAACAAATGTGAGAATTAGTTGCAGAGCTGTAAGCGCTCCAGCTCCTGCACATCACTGTTAATCAGTTCAACAAGTTCATTCTGCTTCCTGGTTCAGCAGCTGATGAGAGTAGATGACGTCTTCAAAGTGGTATTTCGTTGTTAGAGCCATGATGGAGTCGTAGCATCTCATTCTACTGAGAATCTTCAGCTCTTCAACCACAGCAGACCTACAGCAGAAGGTTTAAAGAAGTACATCAGCAGGGATGAAGCGGATGTGAGCAGGATGGGATTAAAGTGGCCTATAAGGTTTGTGGTTGCATTACCTGGTGCTTGGATCATTGGAAGGCGTCTGTTTGCAGAGGCTGTGAACCTTCTGGACGACATTGTTCCTGAAATTCTGCAGTTGAGGCAAACAGATACTCTCCCCTTCAAACCAAGAGGCAGGCAGACAGTCTGCAATCTGAATGAAAAAACAAACCCTAATGTCACAAACAGATCCCTATGAAGGTGCATTCAGACCAAACACGGTGTCAACGGTGATTTCTTCCAGCACAGAGGGGAGTTAAATAGTCTGCATTCAGAGGCAGTGCTTACAGCCAGGACCGTGTCATCAAACTGGAAGACATTTTGCTGCGTGATGACATTAGTGCTGTGCTCGTTTCCTGTTATAAAGTTACTGCATAACATCACAATCCTATGCTGGCATTAAATAGAACAGTGGGCAAACTGGTCTTTATGAGCAACTTTTGAATTGGCTTGGGGAGACCATTAATTTTTTTAAAGAGTCCACTTTGGTTTATCCAGAGCTGTGTCTGAATAACTTGTCGGATTCTACGGTGCTTCCTTATATATCTACCCCCGCAGAAAGCACCGATGCTGGGCAGTGACAGACCTGGGTCTGAGCTGGAGGTAAGTGAGGATGAAGAGCAGTGTGCTGATGAGGATTCTCACTCATCCAGGTCATATTCATTCTGTAAAAGTTTAGAAAAAACGATCCACTGGACTTGGTTTTCAAGGTTTGAAGACATTTCGCTCCCTCTCCAGGAAGCTTTCTCAATCAAATGTCTGGGTCGGCAGTGAGTTTGAGGTTTTATATGGACAAGGCCTTGTATTGCTTGGAAACATGCAAATTGAACCGATGAGCGGGTCGTTTGGTTCCATTGTTGGCCTGTAATACCTGAAACCTGTCTATGATTCTGAAGGTCGGTCGTTAAAGGGGTGATTGCCTCCTAGATTATCTGAAACCTGTCTATGATTGTTGGTCGTTAAAGAGCAGTGCTTCTAGGAGTAAATTAAAACCAATTTTTTTTTTATCCACCTAAAAACCTCTACAGAGAATTCCTTATTTCTCCCTTTGTTGACATTATTTTCTCTATATATTCCATTTTAACTAAGAAAAGATTTGCCACGGGTGCACTTCATTAGGCTACATCACAACCACAAACAAGTCCCTGATTGGTTGCTGTAAAACGATTTCACAGAAAAGTTCAGCCTGTTTCAACTTCAACGGTCACTGTTCTGCTCTCTCCATGTGGTGCTGCTGTTTGACAACACCTCAGCTCTGTCTAGAAGCACAAGGTGAGCGAGGAGCAGTGAATGCTCTAACTGCTGGCCGCTTCCGTGCGCAGTTTGCATAGGGATAGTACACCGCATTCGTTCTGAATGCACCTTTAAACTTCGTCTTTGCAGAGATACTAGTTTACCTTTTTGTGTGCAGAAACCTCACAGGACAGCGTCTGACTGGACAGGGTGATCATCAGGTATCGATTCAACAGTTTGTCCAACATTAATTCTTTCAAAGTGGACTCAGGAAGCAGCACATCCCACTTTCCCATATTCACCAGCAGCTAACAAAGACATAATAGAATATGTTGACAAAAAGCAGGAAACCTTTAAAAGGTATAAACAGAAAAGCTGAGACATCTTTTAAGATGCAGGTACCTTTATAGCCATCCAGAACTGCTCATCTCTGAAGCGGCGTTGAGGAGACAATCTGTCCTTAGAAAGCCTGGAAAGAAAATCCAACCATTTAATAGAGATAATCAAGACACAAAAACTCTTTTAAAACGATACGTCATTGTTTAAACAGTCCAATCCGATAACTGAGTTTATTAAATGTGGGCAAACTTGAAAGATAATAAACAGACTTTTTTGGATACAAAGGGATGAAGACATCTTCATCTACGAAGCTCCTGAGCCTCCGAACCACAGCTTCTAGGAATCCCTGTAAGAGACAGAAAATCCACCTAAATCTGATGATTTATACAGACTTTGTGTTTTATGATGTAAACATAAGAAATATAAAGTTATATGGCTCACACTAAAGCCATGTTATCTTAGCTTTACCTTAACAGGTTTAGTCTGCTCCCCTTCAAAGATGGAGTAGTCCTCCTTCAGCCTGTGACAGACCGCAGAGAGGCAGACAGTTTGTTGGTGGGATAAAGGATCCCACACCAGCTCCACATAGCCTACACAGGAAGAAACATCATTTACTTTACATGACTGATAAAATATATATGAAAACATCAACTGCAGTGCTGGTAGACATTTTATTTTTGCCTTATAGGAAAAAAAAGTTCCAAGTTTAGCCTTCTCAGTCTAGTTCTCTACATGGTGTTTACATGTTCTTCATGGCATGGTTTAATCTTACCCAGTCTGTACCCAAATCAAATTTCCTTTGGGACAATAAGGTTAATCGACTCTAATATAATCTTTGTCTCGTCTACGTTGAACATCCTCGATTAAAAAACGCTGTCAGTCCTAGGAAAAACATCAGTACTCGGGGAAAAAGGTTGTTTTATAAAGCGAAATATATATTGAAAACCAACATAATTCCCCCCAGTCTGTCTGAACGAGTGCTTTAAACGGGCTACATTAAAATTAGAATTATAATGAGCTTATAATCTGAACATTACACGTTTATCCTTCTTCTTTAAACACATTACAGCCAATTAAAGGCAGAAAATCAAACGCAGATATGTGGTTTGAGTAATGTGGAGAACAAAAAATACATTTTGAATCATTATTTTGTAAAAATATATGTTTTTTGTTTACCAGAAAAGTCTGAGCTAAAATCTCTGGTGCCGTAGATTCTCTTAGCAAAGGGTTTGCGTGTTCTTCACCTAAACCAGTTACTGTGATTTAATTACACATATTCCGTGGAAACTGAGGCAAAAAAAATTTGTTTAGATGCAGGTCTCTGAAAGATGAAGATTTCTGAAGCGAGGCGCCTTAAAGCATGGTTAAAATAATAATAAAAAGAAAGACTATGTATTAAACTAAACAAGTACTTCTTAAATTTCACAGCAAGGCAAGAGCTTCAGACAGCCATCAATTCACGCCGAAAGGATGTAGATATATTTGTCAAAGGGAGGAGTGTGTGATATTTACTGGTCATTTTGGGTAGAAGAGTCTTTTCTATGACACTAGAGAGCGTCTGCCTGTCTGTGTCCTCCAGCTCCTCATGGCCGTGGCCATGGCAGAATGTCTCCATCGCTTCGAACCATGGAAAGTTTTCAAATTCTGCACAGACGTCCTAAGACACAAAGAAACACACAAACAATGAACAACTCAGCGGCTTTGGGCGAGCCTCTGCATCTCTGTGTATGCCTGCTCACTTTAAGCGGGTTCCACATCAGCAGCTGATGCCTGATGATGGGGTTCAGCAGCTTGGGCAGACAAAGAGAAATGTAAGCGTTGTGGTAGGACTCAGAGTACGACCTCCTCCAGTCCTCGAATCGAGACAAGATCTTCTTAACATCGTAGAAGTCTTCTTGGACGTCAGCAAAAACTGCCTTTGACCTGGACTGGATATCAGCTGGTGAGAGAGCATAAAAACAGTCCATCTTCCTTTGGTTTAATATCTCAGGAGTAAATTGGATATGAATGTGAAGATCTGTATGTTGTAAAACGCTCTACTGTGAGGTCTTTCACCTATTCTAATCTGCAGCTGGTGCTCCTCTTCTGCCGAAGGCTCTGAATCTTCAGGTACATCAGCGTTTTCATCCAGATTAACAGCAGAGTCCGTCACACTGAATTCACACACAAGAACTAGTCGTTTCAGAATATTTCTAATACAGCCTCAAAAAGTTTAAACAGGAAGTCACTCACCAGTGAGGGTCAGTTTTCTGTGCTGAGCTACCAGTTTGCTCCTCTGTATTATCTATGAACGACATGGAGTTCATTTAAATGTTCACTGACTAACTAAAGTAAACTGCATGCAGTGGATGTATTAGACGGCTGCAGAGGGCCACCACTCACAGCTGAGCCTCTGCAGGCGGTCAGCCTCGCTCTTCATCCTCTCACGCCTCTGGGACAACAGCGCCTCCATCTGGTCAGACAACAGAGTGTGCATTTCCAGCTCCAAGGTGTTGATCTCAACAATCTAAAGGCAACAAATCATCGCATAAAATAATTGAAATTAATTCAAGTATTTAAATAAAATGTATGACTATTATTATTATTATTATCTATTATATTTATAACTTATTTTAAATAATTAGGTAAAGTCTGACCTTTTCCTGCAGACATTCGACCAGATTGTGGATGTAGAGGATCATTGTCCTGTAAAACCTGAGCTGACCCTCAGAGGAACTTTCCTCCAGCAGCTCCAATGAGCTTCTAGCATTCTCAGCGTCACCCTCCATCCTCCTCAGCTCCGCCTGCCGCGCTCTGTACACCTCCTTCAGGGAGTCCAGTCTGGAGTAACCAGGGAAACAATAACCAATAAGGGAGGAAAACATGCGCAAATTTTTATGTTTGCATTTAAGAAAATTCATGTTTACTTTCCTTTAGTCATTTTATGAAAATTCTTTAACAGTTTGTTAGTAAAGGTTGATAGAACCAACCTGTTTTTCCTCATTGGTGTGACTTCAGAATCTTTTGAGTTATATCTAAGATATCTACAAAGTTGTTTCACGTGTTTAGATTTAATAAGCCTAAAACTCAGTTAATAGTAAATGATTCATTATATCTACATTCTTTAACAATCATTGTCTCAGAACCTTTACAAATTTCAGTTTAAAACAACAGGAGTTTCCTACCAATGGTTGCAACACACTGCTGCCCCCACCCCCACCCCCACCTGTTGCTAAACACCTTTGTAACATGGTTTTAAAATAAAGCCCAATAAACTATAAAATACCAGGATTTAGCCTGGAGAGTATGTGGGGAATATACCTTGTTTCCAGAGTCATGAGAGCACAGATGGACACATACTATCAACATGGGTAACTTTGCAGACAGTCAAAGAAAAGCAAAAAGGTCTAATATTCTGCCCAGTGAACAAGAGAACTGTTACACTACTTTGGTAAATACATGTAACATAACATGATGAGATACTAAATTATTTTCTGCATTTATCTCATGTCATACTCTTATTCTTATTCTGATACTATTAAAGTGGGATATATTTACCTGAGGGGATCATATTTTTCTTTTTTCCAATAATTGTAATATAGATTTTAAAGCTCTGAAATACAATTTTTAAATCCACTTCAGTTCAACTAAACGAGTTCAAATGAACAGAATTGCTGCTAGTTGTAGTAATTCATGCAAGCTTTCACTGCCTGAAGGTTGTTGTCTCAGTTATTGAATGCGACAGGGGAAACTAACTTTCCAGTGATCCTTTTCTTCACCATGGACACTGAAATAGGAGGAAGGGTCTTTGGGATCTTTTTATGTCTTGCTCTTTCTCGCCTGCTGCTGCTGTAGCTGCTGGATTCGCTGCCAGATGGACTCTGAGAGGAAAAAATATGCTGCTTTCCAATTATTCATAATAAACAAACAAACAGAGAAGAACATGATTAAAGGGACAAAGAGCGAGATTTCACATTGAAAAGAAAAGGAGTAAAAATGCAACAACAAAAAAAAAAAAGAGCAAAGAACAACAATAGAAAAAAGTTCCTTTTTCTTTTTTTACCTGTTCCCCTGGTCGTCTCTTGACTCCCTTCCCGATTTGTGTCTCCTCCCAAAGCTCCTGCTCCTCCTCATCGGTACCTGACAGACTGCTGTTGCTTTCTCCTTTATTAAAAACAAAACAAAAACATTATAAAACAAACAAAATTCCATCTTTTCTCTATCACTTCAGCCTTCTGTTCTTTTTTCATATGAGGACAGACACCTCTCACCAAATGTATTTTATCTACTGAAGTTCTCAATTATCTTTGGCTGCTCTCAGAATTTGGTTCCTCTCCATCTATTCCTGGATCTAGTACCTATTTTCTCTGCAATCCTCTCCCTAATGCTCCTCATTCGGGGAGCAAACTCGATTCTTCTCTCATGGTCGTCAGGCTCATCATCGTCATCATCTTCAAGCCTGTCCTCTTCGTCTCCTCTGCTGTAGTGATCTGGGGTGCTGCCAGCAGAGCTCCGACCATCTCTACCCAATGGTATGAACTCCTTCTGGGATCGAGCAGCACGGCGCTTCCTCCTGGCTGCATTAATCTCCTCTGCTTTCGGTATGATGACTGTGGAGCCAAAAGCAAATCAAACAGACAAGTTAAACACACCGCAGTGAAACCTTCCTATAAAAACATCACACAGGAAGACATACTGGGTTTAGTAACAGAAACACTGGAGTCAGTGTTGGAGTTACTGGAGGTAGATCTGGCATCGTCTCCATTACTGTCATTGTCATCAGCATTACTGTTGATGTCATCATCGTCATCATCGTCATCATCATCATCATCATCATCCTCTTCATCACGCTGAGCACACGGTGAATCCTCGCTGCTGTCATCATGTCTAGGAGAAACAGACGGTGGGGCGTCTCTGCCACCAGATGCTGGAAGAAAGGAGGTTTGGCAAAAACATGCAGATTATATGTAATGAAATATGTCAAAATTTCCTGCTGTTTGGGAGTAACATTTCTTTAAATTGCATGTATTAGGATTAAGAGAAATAGACACTTAGCCGAACGAGGTGCCCCTCATTATGAATGCTGTAAAGTTGAATTAAAGCTGAATATTACGCTGCTTTCATGTTTGTGATGAATCCAGATTTTCCAGAGTATTTGCTTTACCTTCATTATCAGAATGACATCAACTCATTTTAACCCTTAAACAGAGTTGTCCGGATAAGAGTGATTGATTGGAGTGAAGGATGTCAGAAAGTAAAATTGTACTAAAAAGGTTCAGATACCCGAACATCTTTACACATTTTCAGTGAAGATTTTGTTAGGACATGTTTACTAATTAACATATATTTTTGACATTAGAAATAATACTCTTCATATTTACAAGGTTTTCTTCATTCTAGATATCTGAAATAAAATTCTGCCACTTATTTAGCTGTTTATTATTTTATATACCATTTTAAGGAGCACATTTGTGTGATCACTTTTTGTTGTAATGCTGCTGTAACGCCACCATCTCCCCATGTAGGACAATAAAGGCTATTTTCTATTCTATTCTAAAAATCAAGACCAGTAAGAATTGGAAAATGGGGATGTTAAAATTCTTTTTAGACATCTAGAATATTTATTTGACATAGGAGTAATGTCATTTTGGATATATCCAAAATGCACATGAGTGGGAAAAGAAACCCATTTCTACTACCGGTAATAAGAATGGGTTTGGATTAGTTCCCACACTGCATTTTGAAACTGGGGATATTTCTAAACATTTCTCTTTCTTTTATGCAGGTAAACATATTCCACCTGACTGGTAGTGCACAGAAAGAGGTAGAGGAGGGGGAGCTCTACATTACATCAACATTCATGCTTGAATTGTCAAAACCGGAGAATGATCTGGACTGAGATTACTTCATGGTCACGTTCATCTAAATAAGAGGGGAGACAGAAAAACAAAACATTTTGATTAAACTACCTTTGCTGAGGTTTTTCTTCGTGGGCAGAGTCTCCTTCTTTCTGACTTGAAAGACCACAGCTTTATCAGAGGACCGCTTCAGTTTAAAAGTAGATTCCTCTGCAGTAAAAACAAGAACACATTGATTATTTTCAGTTAACGCTTTGAGGAGAATATTTGTCGCTTTTAGTTTCTGAAGCTTCTTTGTTCTGGGTTGGAAAAATAACAGAAAAACATTTCATGACAACTGATTACTCTATATGCAACATTCCATCATATATATGCTCTGTAGAATGTATGAGTTTAAAAGGAAGTGTCTAAACTCACCATGAAGGATAATCAAACCTGTTCCTTCTCATCTTCCTGCTCTTCTTAGCCCTGATAATATCTATAGTTGGGTAATGCTGCTTAAACCAGTCTCCACCTACACTTTGTGCTCAATTGAGACTAAATATGCTTCATTCTCTTAAGGCTGTCCTCAAAAAACAGAGATTTTTGATTGTTCAAAATCCTACGAGCCTACGGTCCAGCGAAATGTTTTACTGTAAACATATTAAGTATATAGGAGACTGATTTACCCTTTAAATGAAGCCCAGCTAAACAAAGTAAAAACTTGAGAGCAAACTAGCAAGCATTTATTGACCTTAATGTTACAAGTAATTCTACATTAAAAATAACTTCATTACATAAAAGATGAGTGACAGCTCGCTCCGATTTTCAGTCATTGCGTTTTCTGTGATGCGAGTTATTAGGTGTGTTCGAGACAAGCGAGACCTGCGCAAACCTGATCGGTGTTGGTCTATGCACGGTGTACAACAGTTAGATATCTGTCTGTGTTGCCCCCGTCTGCATCCAATGTCTGGAACATGTAAGTAATTTTAACCTTGATTGATGTCTTCCAGTCAGGTTTCCGTGCCAACCAAAGTATTGAGATTGCCCTGATTATGGTGTTCAATGACATCCATACGAATGAAGACTGTGGATCAACCATAGTGCTGGTATTATTGGACATCAGTGCAGCATTTGATACTGTTGATCACTTGATTTTATTCAAGTGTCTGGAAAACTGGGTTTGCCTTTCTGGTACAGCACTGAACTCGTTTAAATCCTATCTGAAGGACAGAAACTTCTATGTGTCAATAGGGAACTTTAAATCAGACCAGAAAAATCCCATGCGGGGTTCCTTAAGGCACCATTCTGGGCCCCCTCTTATTTAACCCGTACATCCTCCCTTTAGCTCTGGTTATAGAAAACATCAAGATTACAGTTACCTTAACTATCCAGATGATACATAGCTTTATATCACAATGTCACCAGGGGACTATGAACAAATCAGAGCGCTGGCTGGTTAGATGCTAATAACAGATGTATCTGTGGAAGTGACATCATTTTTCTATGTCCAAGAAGGATCTAGAAAATCACATTCATGGATTTATCTTTAGTAGATTTGGTAATGGCAACAGTGTCTTCATAGGTTTGCCTAAAAATCCCATCACCCAGCTGCAGCTGATCCAAAATGCTGCTGTCCATGTTCTCACTAGATGCAAGTAGGTAGAGCACATCAGCCCAGTTCTGAATTCCTTACGCCATTGTTGGATTGGCCAACAATGGGGTGTTCATGGTCATTAGGGGGTCCTGATAGGTCATCAACTCCCTCCTTAGAGTGGTTTTGGTCATAAGAGTCATTGAAGTGTGAGTCAGGTGGAGGGTGGGTAGAAGGTGAATCTTCTGGGTAATGTTCCTAAAAGTGCTTTGTAGATTAAATGTTATGTCTAAGACCACCTCTGTTGAGAGATTTCCCAGGTTAACAAAGATGGCTTCCTTAACCCCTTGCCATCTTTCTTCATTAGCAAGAATAGAGACGTTGCAAGAATATAACTTTTTATCTGTTATGTGTGGAAAAATAACCATGGAGATCATGGGAGTCTGGAGTTGTATTTACAATGCAGATATTGATCTAATGCATAAAAACTCAACAAAATAAAACACCTGGAGACCACCAGACTGCCATTGTAGGCTGTGGTTTTGAGGGGAACGAGAGTATCTGTCGGTCATCATGAACTTTGGGGACTGGTGTGAGAAGAACCACCTGTGTTTCAACACCAGTAAGACCGAGGAGACGGTGCTCCCTCCCCCGTGAACATTCAGGGTCATGACATAGAAACTTTGGAGAGTACCAAATACCTGGGTGTTAGCGTCAATAATAAACTGGACTGGAATCATAAAAAAAAAGACACCCTGTGTAAGAAGGGCCAGAGCCACCTCCACCTCCAGAGGAGGCTGAAATCCTTTGGAGTGAGCATGCCCCTGCTTAAAATCTTCTATGACTCTGTGGTGGCCTCAGCTTTCCTCTACGCTGTCGCCTGCTGGGCCCCTGGCAGCGCAGAGCAAGACAGAGAGAGACTGAATAAGCTGGTAAGAAAGGCTGTTTCTGTCCAAGGCTGCACTCTGGACTCGGTGGAGGAAGTGGCTGAGAAGAGGGTGCTGACCAAGCTTCCATCATGGACAAAACCTTTCACCCTCTGCACCAGACTGTAGAGGAGCTGAGCAGCTCCTTTAGATAAAGACTTTTGCATCCTGTTTAAAAAGGAGCCCTAATGCAGGTCATTCATCCCTGCTGCCATCAGACTTTAATATACGGCACTATAACTGCAATAACTAATGTGCAATCACTATTTAACACCCTGTGCAATATAGAGACTTTACCTGTTTGTATGTATATATATATATATACACTATATTGCCAAAAGTATTTGCTCACCTGCCTTGACTCACATATGAGCTTAAGTGACATCCCGTTCCTAATCCATAGGGTTCAATATGACGTCGGTCCACCCTTTGCAGCTAGAACAGCTTCAACTCTTCTGGGAAGGCTGTCCACAAGGTTTAGGAGTGTGTTTATGGGAATTTTTGACCATTCTTCCAGAAGCGCATTTGTGAGGTTGCACACTGATGTTGGACGAGAAGGCCTGGCTCTCAGTCTCCGCTCTAATTCATCCCAAAGGTGTTCTATCGGGTTGAGGTCAGGACTCTGTGCAGGCCAGTCAAGTTCATCCACACCAGACTCTGTCATCCATGTCTTTATGGACCTTGCTTTGTGC